GTCGTATGCGCGAAACTCAATCTCGTAACAGCTTTAACATTCGCGGCCGCGTGATATCTGCTCCGATGGCATTCGTGAGCATGATTCCCGTTACTAGCACTACGACCGCCGTCTTATCTCCGTCCGTTCAAGCCTTCAAGGCCAACTCGGCCTCCTCCGCATTGCCATCGCACAGCGGTCACCGACGCGCGACATTCCCAATGGTCGGGACAGTATCGAGGCGTCAATGTGCTGTAGCTCCTCGCGCGTCCAGCTCGGGTGACGCGGAGCGAAGCGACGCGAGTGGCGGCGCTGGCGACACTCACGCGCATCGTGCCGACGCGCCGTCCAATGCGCAGCGGGCGGAAGTGTGGCTGACTGCGGCTGCTGCAGCGGCGGTTGTTGCGGCGCCTTTTGCGGTCGCGCCTTGCGCGCTCGCCGACTTCAACGTGCGAGCTGGAGCCCTTTTTAACACGGCTCGATCCCTGTCAACTCCCTGATTCATTGCTTACTCCCTCCCTCCGTCGCAACATGCAATGACGTTTCTTTCCCAGTCATTCCCCTGATTTCTCCTGCTTTATGTGCACCCTCCGTGAGCATTTTCCCGTCCTGGACTCTTTCCCCTCCCTTTCCCTTCCAAAACCTCCTCTCCCCCCTCCCCTTCCCCTCCCCTTCCCCTCCCTTCCTCTCTCCCTTCCCCCACGCCCTCCTCCCTTCCTCCCCGCCCTCCTCCCTTTCCCCCCGCCCTCCTCCCTTCCCCCTTGCCCCCAGACCTACAACCACGCCTATCTACGCGGGGAAGGGGAGGAGGATCGGGACGGGAAGGGGAGCGAGGAACAGGGATAGTAGGTCAGTAAGAGAGTGGGGGGGAGAGAGGGGGGTGATGATGGGAGCTGGGGCCTGGGGAAACGGGGGGAAGGGAAGGGAGGAAAGAAGAACAGATACATAAGACTCATTTCCCCACTCCCCCATTCCCCCATTGCTTTGTTCCCCCCACTCCCTCATTTTTCCAATTCCCCATTCCCCCATTGCCTCATCCCCCCATTCCCCCATTGCCTCATCCCCCCATTCCCCCATTGCCTCATCCCCCCATTCCCCCATGTTACCACTCTTCACCCCCCATTGCTTCACCCCTCCATTCCTCCAACCCAGCATGTGAATGCCGGCTGATCAACCTAAGCGGGTCAGAGCCCATGGCTTAGACTGACACCTGTCACCTCCCTTGCTCCTTTCCCCTCCCCATCCCTCTTCCCCTTCTCAACCCCCAACTCCCCATCACCAACCCAGCATGCATCAACCTAAGTGGGTCAAACCTCGCTGGCAGCACCGACACCTTTGCAGGCTTTGAGCTCGCCAACCTCGAGAACACCAACTAGTGAGCTCACATTTGGGTTTGCCATTCTAGCACGGTGGTGACTTTTGAGTCAACTCATAAGTCACTCTCAAGTCCCACCTCCCCTGCCAGCAGGGAGCGTGCTTTTGCCAACCGCATTGTCTTTAAAGAGACTGACCTCTCAAGTATCTCTTCTCCCTCTCTCTTCCCTTTCTCTCTCCCCTCCCAACCCAACCCCTCTCCGCACGTGCCCTACTGGCAGGGAACGTGCTCTTGCTGACCGCGTTGTTTTCAGAGGGGCCAACCTTCGCAATGGTACTCTTTTCTACTGTACTCTAGTGTTTTGTTGCATTGCGTTTCTCCTTCTTCCATTCCCCTGATTTTGCACTACTTTCTCTCATTTTGTTCTGTTCCTCCATTCTTGCTTCTAGTCTGCTCAGTGCGTGGCAACTCTCACCAGTGCTTCCTTTCCGCTGTTCCCCTTCTTTTGCTTCTACCTCGTGTGCTACCCATGGTTTTATCTCTTCTTTACTCTCTAATTTCCGCGTTTCTCTGTCTCCCACCCCCCTCTGTCTCCCCCTCCCCCGCTTTCCGTGTCCCCTTCCCATTTTCCCATTGTGTAGCAACTTTCACCAACGCCATCCTCTCTGGATCCCAATTTGAGGGTGAGCTTTCTTCTTGCTTCTTCTCTTTGTTTTCTTTCTATTCTCGTCTCGTTTCGTTCTTCCGTTCTCACTACTTTCGGAACCACTCTCACCTTGCACGCATCAGGACTATTTTCCTTCCTTGTATCCTTTCTCGTCCTACTTTTCCCAGGTTTCCTTTCCCTACATCCAACCACCCCTATCCACCACCAAGCACGCGCCCTTTTCCACCTCCTTTGCTTCCCAACCGTTCACATGAGACGCTCCTAGTTTTGTGGCACAAGTCTCCGTTTTGTTACCAGAGCACACTCTTTCCATGACCATGTGCCAATCCATAACCCCTGCTGTTCATGTGCCAATCCATAACCCCTGCTGTTCATGTGCCAATCCATAACCCCTGCTGTTCATGTGCCAATCCATAACCCCTGCTGTTCATGTGCCAATCCATAACCCCTGCTGTTCATGTGCCAACTCCCCTCCTTTGTTCTCCCACCATCTCCCTTGCTGTTCCCTCTCCTACTCTTCTGTGCATCTGCACGCGCTGATGTGACTGGTGCAGATTTCACAGACGCCATAGTGGACAATGTGCCGAGGCGGTTGATGTGTCGCCTCACTTTCCTTACTCACCTACCACCTCTCTCTGCTTGCATGCTATTATCTGCAGGTGCTGATGTGACTGGAGAAGATTTCACAGACGCCATAGTGGATAATGCACAGAGGCGGTTAATGTGTCGCAAAGCCAAGGGGGTGAACCCATTTACGGGGGTAGAAACCCGGGAGAGCCTCGGCTGCTGAACAGTGAGTCTCGAGTTTACTGAAATATGCTGGTAGGGGGTGAACCCAGTAGAGGGGGGAGGGACCAGGGAGAGCCTTGGCGGCTGACAATTGATGCTCAGGTCGACTCAAATCAAATGTGCCGCAAGGGGGGGTGAACCCAGTGATGGGGATAGAGACCCGAGAGAGCCGTGGCTGCCGAACAGTGACCTTTGAGTCGACTCTAAGGTAGTGCAAGGGCAAGCTTTCTCGTTGGCTAAAAAAAAATACTAAAACGTGTCGTGAGGCCAAGGAGGTGAGCCCAGTGACTGGGGTAGAGACCACAAAGAGTTTTGGCTGCTGAATGCCGTGGCAGAGTTGAGCCTGGCTTCGTTGTTCTGGTTTGATTTCTTTTGTTTTGACTTATCGTTGGCGTCTTGTTTGGATGTAACAGGTCATACAGACACTAGCATAAGTACATAAATGCGGTACATAATTATTTTGGTGCCCTTCTCTATGTGGGCACGTGAGAACATGACACACACCCCAAATCATCAAAACACACTCAGGCACTAACAGCTTATGGCATGAAATTGCATGCCTACATGGCATGAAGAGTTGTCTCTAAAGATTCGAGAGCACACAACAAACCACTGCACAGTTGCATCCTCTAAACCAGTCTTGTACCGGACGAGCCGAACATGCCAGTCACACCGAACGTGCTGGTGCTGAACATAGATGTGCTGGGCGCGCCGGACCTACTGGGCGTGCCGGACCTGCTGCCAGTCATGCCGAACGTTCTGGTCATGCTACTACGCCCTGCCGCACCAGCGGCACTCAACCTTGGCCGCTTAAAACAGCTGGTAATCTCATACCCGTTGCTGTTGTGGCCCTTAGAAACAGGGTCGCTTGAGGCTGCGCCTGCTGCTGCAACACCCAGAGGCTTGAACCGTCCCGTAACAGGGTCACGTGCGGCGGCGACACCAGTAGCTTTCCGGCGAGTCAAAACAGGGTCGCTTGTGGCTGCAACTGCAGCATCAGGAGTCTTGAAACGTCCCAAACCAGGGCCACTTGCTGTATTTGCTGCGACACCAGTACCGGTAGTGTTCCGGCTTGTCAAAACAGGGTCGCTTGTGGCTGCGGCTGCAATGCCAGGAGTCTTAAAGCGTCCCAAAACAGGGCCGATTGCTGCTGTTGCTGCAACACCAGTAGTGTTCCGGCGTGTCAAAACAGGGTCGCTTGCGGCTGTAACTGCAACACCAGGAGTCTTGTAGCGCTTCAAATCAGGGCCACTAATGCCAGCAGCTGTGATTGGTGAGCCTCTGCTGTTGCCGTGTGAAGCTCTGAGTGGCAGCATGGTCGCCCGAGCCCAGGACGAAAGGCAGGAGCCAAAGGCACTGCTGGTAGCAGCACCCCTGGTTGCTGTTGCTGCTACTGCTGCTGCTGGAGCAGAGGCAGCAGCGGGACCAGAAGGGACGGCAGCAGTAGCAGGAGTAGTAACTAGAGCAGCAGCCGCACGGCTCCTGGGAAGAAAGTGCGGCTGCGAGAAGGCAAAGGCCCTTGCCCGCATAAAGCTGTCTACCAGCCAGTCTCCCGTGGGAGTGTATGATGACCTGTCACACGATGACTTGTCATGTGATGACCTGCTGCCATGTGATCTTCCGCCACGTGACGACTGCTCCACGAGTCTCATGCCTCCCTGAGAAGCATTACACCGAGTCTTGTCTTGAGCCGCCTCGAGATTCATGTCCTCCTTGGGAGCAGACCCTGATAGTCTGGTAGTGGCAGGATCCAAGCGCTTGGACACGTTCCTTTGTGTCACAGACACAGCGGGGTTCATCGGCTTGGTGGAACCTTGCTTCTCTTCACGTGACAGCTCGGTAGAAGTAGTGAGTTCCAAGCGGTTGAGAGCGTTCCGTTGCATCAAGGACACTGGCAAAAGCTGCTGCGTTGCAGCGGGGTTCATCAGCTTGTCAAAAGCTGCTGCTGGCACCCTTGAAAGCGGTCTTGGTTGCTTCCCAGAAGCTGGTTGCAGAACCTTGGGATGCGTTCGAGTGTCTGGAGTCGGGTCCGAGTAGATCGCGGAAAGCAATGCTTGCTCTGGGTCTGAAGAGTCGGCAGTACCAGCAGGTTCCAATGCTTTGGCCCGCATTGCAGGAGCAAGAAAGGAATCAGACCAGGATGCTAGCGCACCAGATGTATAACTTGAAGTGGCAGCGGCAGAAGTTTCCGAACCCCCGGCCCGCACCGCAGGTACAGCAGCAGGGCAGAAGTCAGATGGATCTCTCATTATGGTATCAGCGAATTCCAGTGTCTTGCAATGTGCGGTTGCAGCAGGGAAGGCATCAGACCAGGGTGCGTGCAAACCAGTCGCACCCATCACAGTGATACTTGTAGGTTCCACACGTTTGGGCTCCGTTGCTGCTTCAGCAGGGAAGGAATCAGACCAGGATGCAAGCGCGTCAGACGTGCAGCTCAAGATGGGAGCAGTAGAGAAGCCAAAATCCTTAGAAGATGTTGGCATCGCAGCTGCATGAAACGATAGGGGCCAGGACGCGGCAGACTCCATCAGAATCCCCTCCTCGACAATGGTGTTGCCGAGGGAAGAAGCAGGATTTGTCCGCAGTGGCGACGACTTAGGAGGCGCGTCACATGCAGGGGCTGCCTTCTCGATCATGGTGCTCCAGAGGGGAGAGGTAGGGTGTAGCAGAGACGGCGGCTGTGGCTGTGACTGCGGCTGGGGCTGCTGGGACTGCTGCTGGTCGCCTGGATGTTCCTCGTGATGCTGCTGCTTGCGCAGAGGTGGTCCGTGCTGCTCATGCCGATGGGTCTCATGGAAATTTCGCTCGTGAGAATGCTGCTCTTGCTGTTGCGCGGATTGGTGTTGCAGCTGATGATGCTGCTCGTGTTGGCTGTGCTCGAGCGCTGAAACGGATAGAAGGTAACAATCCAAGTTGTCTTCCCACGTGGGCGTTAGGGGCCTTGGTACGTCCGTCATTGCAGTGATAGTAGAATGCAGCAGCTAAGTGCAGCAGATATCTACAGTATGGGGGGGTGTGGAAGAGGAGCCTGGCAGTAAGAGAGCCGTACGTAATTTATAGAAAAGGCTGGTCGAGACGTCCCACGCCGGAGATTAGAGTCCGATTGGAATAAGGGGATTGAGATTTTTGAAGTGTCCCGGCGACAGCTAGCTTGAGAACTTGTAGGTGACTTCTGAGCCGGCTCAAAGGTCACTTTGATTCATATTCAGGTAGATTTGAGATCTGAAAGGATTGAGACAGCTAGTTTGACAACTCGAAGAGAACAAAAGTTTCATTGCCAGCCTGGAGCAGCTTCTTAAAGCTTTCGTATACATTTGAAAGTGGGAGTTTCAGAAGTTTAGAAATTTGAAAACTGGTTACCCTATTACAGGTCATTTCCCTCGTCCCACAAGGGAGATGATCCCCCCGACACCCCGCACCATCTCCTCTGACTGCTGGTTCAAAACTTTTGAAACAACAAAAGGATACAAATTACCATGTTTCTCAGAACTAGGCCACTACGCACGATAGGCCGAAAACTACGTAGATAAGCAGATCGCGATTCAACAACCAGCGCAAAGAACCCCGTTTCCGACACAAACAGCGACGTAACTAGACGTATAGAGTCATTACGCGTCCGCACCAACGCCAGTTCCGCCCTCTCACACTCGCCTCTCCCGCATCACACGCGTTCGACATTGAAATAGCACTAGCCGCGCCCGCTAGCTTTCAAACGCGGCATCCCTCCACCTACCACTCTCGTCGCGCCGCATCAAACCGCTGCTTGTGGCCTAGCCGGCGCCGGTTCTAGTCACCTCGCCGAGCCGATCACAACGGACCTCCTTTCATTAGCCTCGCCTCGTTGTCCGTCGCGGCGTCGCATCGCCTCACCTCGCTGCCTCCTCACACCTCCTTGAACACGCACGCTGCATCTGAAACTGCCGAACAGCGGGATCTCGCACGATCACAGTCGCCTCCCGCTCGCGCAGCTTTGTTACCCCGTTTCCGCACTAGCCACGGCAGCCGCACTTGAGGTCGCGACGGACTGCCGAAACTGTCTCCTTGACCAGCCAATTCTTCTCCCCTTCCCAGCGCCTTCCCATCTCCCCTTTTCGCCTCCCTATTTCGCCTGCGTGGCTCCGTATCTCGCGTTAGTGCCTTCCCATTTCCCCTTGCCTTCCCGCATCCCCAATTCCCCTTTCCTCCACCGCAATTCCCCTTCCCGTGTCATGATTACCCCTTCCCGCCTCCCCGGTTTTCCTTCCCGCCGCGCATTTCCCCTTTCCGCCTCCCCGATTCCCATTCCCGCTCCCGGTATCCCCTTCACACATTTGCGTTTCCCCTTCCCGCACCCCATTTCCCCTTCCCGCCTCCCCGTTTCGCATTCCCGCTCTCCCACATTCGCGTTTCCCCTTCACGGTCCCCATTACCCCTTCCCACCTCCCCGTTTCCCCTTCCCGCTCCCCGTTTCCCCTTCCCGCTCCCCGTTTCCCCTTCTCGCTCCCCGTTTCCCCATCCCACCTTCCCGTTTCCCCTTCCCGCTCCCCATTATCCCTCCCCGCCTCCCCGTTTCCCCTTCTCGCCCCCTCGTTTTCCCTACCCGCCTCCCCGTCTCCCTCTCGTTTCTCCACCTTCTCCCTCTCGATTCCCCCCTTCCCCCTCTCGTCTACCCCCCTCCCCCCTCTCATGTCCCACCTTTCTCCTTCTCATTTTTCCCCATTCTCCGTCTCATCCCCCCCCCCCCCCCCCCCCCCCCCCCCCCCCCCCTTCTCAAGCTCACCTACCCCCTTTCTCCCTCTTAGCTCCTCTCTTCCTACGCCCTGCTTCCCCCTTTACTCTCTCGTCCCTACACCCTTCATTCCCCTCTCCGCTCTCTGCCTTATACCCTTCTACCTCCTTTCCCCTCTCTGTCTTACACCCCTCTTGATTTATTCTCCACTCTGCCTTACTCCCTTCTTCCACCTTTCCCCTCTCTACTCCACACCCTTCTTCTCCCACCATGCGTTCTCCCCCTTATATCCTGCTAAACCCCATTTCCCTCTCTTCCCTACACCCTGCTTCCCCCTCTCTCTTCTCTGCCTTACGCCCTGCTTTCCCCTTTCCCCTATCTTCCCTACACCCTTCTTCCCTCTTTCTACCCGCGCTGCTTCCCTTTTTCCCTATCTCCCTTTCCCTCTTTCACCCTGCTTCTCCCGTACCCTGCGACGTGGTAAGGACGCGAGGCGACACATACGACGTCGTTTCGATTCTGGACGAGCTAGCTGGCGAGCTGGAAGGATTCTGGTAACCACACAACCGTCCGAACGGCTGGACGTCCGGACAAAACAAAGGAAAAATGTCACACGCCCTAAGGGCTGAGGCGCCGCAGCGGGTTCGGCGATAAAGGGCCATGGTGCGCATCGGGTGAGGCGCTAAGTGGGAAAGGCGCGCAGCGGGTGAGGAGCCAAGCGGGAGAGGCCTACCTAGCGAGTGTTGAGAGTGGCGGCGTGGCCAACGCATGAAACGCGCATCCGCTCAGTGAACACGGCCCCTAAATTATCAATCGCGTGACGGCTTACTCGAGTGCGGCGACCCAGCGTCGTGATGCAAACCGCTAGCCTCGGTTCCTCTATCTATGCTTCGGCTGGTGAGTCACTGCAAGGTTGGGTGACGGGGGAGTTTCCCGTGTTTGGAACCCTCAAAGGTGCAAGTTTTCGCAAAACCTCTCGCCACCCTCATTTGGTTTCGTTTGAGCGAATTTTTTTGGGATACTGTGCAACCGTGAACAGTACTTGCAAATGTATACGAAAGCTTTAATGTCACTAATGGGTTGAAAGCAGCGGCCCTGCATATCCGATTCAGTGTCCCCAAATCGTTGCGGTGCAGCGTTGCAGCAAAAACGAAAAAAGCATTCGAAACAGCACTGCGAGCAGCTAATGTAATGGATCGCGATAAGAGATGCCTCTGATGGAGGGGGATACTCCGAGATTGGACATTTGTAAGTCGGATTTAAAACCCGCAGGCCAAGAAGGCCAAATTTGGTTCATCCTTCCTAGCGTTGGTTGGATGTCCCAAAAATGCCTGTGATCATTCCCGAATTCTAGACCTCGTCCAACATTTCGGACACTCCTATTGGTTTGCAGGCCTTTTGCGTTTTCACTCCCAACCAACCTTCCTAAGGTTGAAATTCTTGGCCTGCGGGTTTTAAGGTGGTTGGCAGAGCGGAAAAAAGGGATGTGAAGGTATCATGTGGGTTTGGTGTGTGCGGTGTCTCCAAAGGAGGAATCATTCGTACAATCTGATCTTTGCAGCAACGATGCTGTCCTCGTTTCAAGAGGCCTCGAAAAAACTTACAAAGTCCGTATCACACGGATGCCCTTCCACGCCGCCAAGCAGTAACGGTGATCGCCTCGCCACGCACGACACCTCACTTTTTTCAGCGGAGGCCACGCCATGTGCCATGACCAGCCGCCGAATGTTCTAGAGAACGGCCCACAAGACAAAGGACTTGCAGGACAAAAGGGACAGCTTGCAAATCAAGCACTAAGCTAAACGTGACTACACGTGCGGATCCTCGACCCGTAACAACGACGAATGCCGAGCTCCTACCCTGCTTGCCGTGGTTCTCGACCATCCCTATGGCAAGCAAATACAGCGACGCTGCTTCTTGTAGTGTGAAAATGGGTAGCAGAGACTGTTGTCGGCTTGCAGTGAAACTTCCGAGTCTCGAGAGATGCTCTGTTCAACCATGCAGTTGAGCGGGCCTGACGCTCACTGCTCATCCAAGCCCACGCTGAGCGAATCGAAGCTCAATCAACGTGACCAAGAATCAGAGCTTGGTAATGCAGCAACCTGACTGCATTCTAGACTCCTAGGGTTTGTCGTGGGAAATTCCAATTGGCCCTATTGACGCGCGCGCGCGGAAATGAGAGACGGAGGAGGTTACATGGGGGGCGGTGGGCGGGAGATGATGAGATGGGATGGGATGGAGGGGGGGATGGATTGGAGGGGCTGTGGGTGTCCGAGAGGTTCGAGGGGAGGAAAAGGGAAGGGGGAGGGGGAAGCGGAAAGGGTATGAAGCGGGGGAAGCGGAAGGACATCACGTGGGAGCGTGGGCCAAACCAACGATGATGAAGGAGGACACGTCGAGAGGCTCGAGACGATCCAGTATGGGATGGGAAAGGGGTTCGCATACAACTACTAGCTAGCCATTGGTGTACCTTGTCCATTACCTATGGACAAGGTTTGTCAGTCAAGCGCTTGAACTTCAACATCCATGTTCCCAAGCATGGTTCCCACTTTCTTTTTTCTATAACTCACAAGGCGACCCCATGTTCATGTAACAATGATCCCACATTAAAACAAACAACAATGGTATAATTCCTTGTATGTATTATCAAATTCCAAGTCTGAGCTGTTGATCAGGTGTTTTATGGTGAGGTGACCCGCTCATTAAGAGAGGGTGGTTGCTTTTCTGCACGAGTTATGTAGCGTTTAAGAGGCTGCAGCTTCAATGCATTCTTTCGACATTAGAGAGGGAAAATGGCTGCTTGGGAGGCTATTTTTGAGTCGACTCTAAAAAATACCTGTGTGTGACATGATCGCAAGACACTACCCCTTACGAACTCAATAATGTTGGGCTGAGAAGCCCCTAGGATCTTTGCAGGGGTGAACTCTGGGTAGAGTTGATGTAGTAGCGGAAGCGTTTAATTAAAGAGTTGTAAACCACCTTGCACTGGTATGTGAGGGCAAAGTAAGTTGATAATAATAAAAGAGATACAAGCTTTTATAAGAACACAAAGGAATATGAAGAGATACAGTTAACTGTTTTACTGTTGCTGTTGCGGTTCGATACAGTGTCGACTCGGGCAACTGCTCAGTATCGAGACAGTTGGTTGTCCTTGCTGTCGCGCTGTATTTGTCAGGTCAAAGGTCGCTGACCTTTGACTTTCGCGTAACCTCCAACAGTTATTCAACCTCCGAGGGTTGACTCACCGATATTTCGATACGAGCTACTTCGCTTCTGTCTTGGTGTTTCGACACGACAGAGGCGCCTAAATCAGTTGTTTCCAACACTCCCCTTCGCTTCTAGAGTGTCGCTGACGTGGCTCTGTCCAGTCAGCAGCATGCAGTATTCGAACTTCTGCTTTCCGAGCTTCTTGGTCAGGTAGTCAGCTGCCATCTCAGACGTGGGACAGTATGACAGCTCGAGCCTTCCCTTCTCGATCTCATCGTTCACGAAGAAATATCGCAGGGCGATGTGTTTCGTCCTGTTTGCGAAGCCGTTCTTGTTGGCGATGCGAATTGCTGACTGGTTGTCGCAGAACAGGGTAAAGTTGGGTAACTTGGCTAATTTCGCTTCTTCCAGCAGCTCGCGAAGATAGAGTCGTTCCTTGGTGGCTGAGCAGAGTGCAATATATTATGCTTCAGCTGACGAGAGGGCAATTAATTCCTGCTTGCTTGACTGCCAAGAGATAGGTCCGATAGGTTCGAGGCGGTAGATGTAGCCGATGCGGGAGCGCCTATTGTCAGAGTCGCCAGCGTGATCAGCGTCGACATAGCCGATTAACTTAGTCGGTGTGGTTGCGTTCTTGTAGTAAGTTAGGCCGATCGTTGGGGTGCTGACGAAGTAGTGAAGAGCGCGGTCGAGCTTCGCCAGATGTTCTGCTTCAGGCTTCTTGAGGTAGGTGGCGAGCTGGCTTGCGGAGTATGAGAGGTCGGGGCGACAGGTGACGGCTGCGAAGAGAAGACATCCCAGCTTCTTCTGGTAGTCTCGTATGCTGGCGGGCTTGAGTAGAGTGGAGCTTCTTTTGTCGTTCCCTGCCGTGTAGCGGTATGGCGTGGAGATGGTTGTCGGTGTGAGCGTAAAGCGTTTGGCGATGGTGTCGGCATATTTCTCGGCGCTGAGGTAGATCGCGTCCTCCTCTTCCCGGATGTTGAGGCCAAGGTACTGAGTGACGGTAGATGAAACTGTGAGCGTGAGATCTCGCTGCAGCTCCCCTTCGAACCAGGTAGTGATGCCGTCATTCGAGCCGATGTAAAGGAGATCGTCCACGTAGACGATTAGTAGGATATAGTCGTCGTTTTTTGTGAGCCGGTACATGCCTTGATCGTGCGGTAGTTGCTTGAAGCCGATGCGGATGAGGCGAGTGTGCAGGTACTGTTGCCATAGTCGCGGAGCCTGCTTGATGCCGTAGAGTGACTTGAGTAGCTGGCAGACTTGGTTGGGTTCTCTGTGGGAGCCGTGTGGTAGCTCGACGAAAATTTCTGCATCAACAGGTGCGTAGAGAAACGCGTTCGCGACGTCAATTTGTCGCAGCTTCTTCTTCTTCATGGCGGCGATTGCGAGGAGAATGCGTAGTGAGGTGTGGCGGCTAACCGGAGCGAAAGTTTCGGTGAAGTCGCGTCCGTGTTCTTGGTCGAAGCCGCGTACAACCCAGCGAGCCTTAAAGTTGTCAATGGTGCCGTCAGCCTTTGACTTCACACGGAAGACCCACTTCCCGGTGAGCACTGTCTTGTTCCGTGTCACGCCGATAGGAACCACTTTCCACGTGTTGCGTTCCTCCAGTGCCTTCAGCTCGTTGTCCATGGCTTCGCGCCATTTTTCCTTATGCTCCCCCCCCAGAGCCTGTTGAACCGTCGCAGGCTCTTTAGGAATGGCGGTGCCGTGGACTGCGGTGACGAGTCCGAGAATTTGCAGTCCGCTCTGTGAGTAGCGGGGAAGATTTGCGTCCTCGGGATAAGTTGCTTCATCTCCCGCTTCTGGATCAGGTATGAAGTTGGGTCCTACTCGTTCTGCTTCGTTGGTGTTGACTGTCGCAGGTGTTACGTAACCGTTGTCGGCGAAATAGTAGAAGGTTTCGGCGTTGACACTTTCGCGAGGGTTATCTTCGTCCATGGGAACGTCCACGGAGCAGAACGGAAGAGGTCCGGCTTCTTCTGATGCGT